TTTCTCTTATCACACCCTTTACTTCATCATTCCACCAATCACTCCTCTTTCCTTCTGCACCCACCCTCCTATAACCACAAACTTCTGCCCCACATTCTAATACTGCATTTTTAAAACTATTCCAACCTTCTTCAACCCCCCCCCCCCACTACTCATACCTGCACCAGCCCACCTTTCTGCCAATAGTTGCTTACATTTCACCTGAACTTCCTCCTCCCTTAGTTTACACACTTTCACCTGCCTCTTACTTCTTGTTGCCATGTTCCTCTTATCCCATCTACCTCTTACTCTAACTGTAGCTACAACTAGATAATGATCCGATATATCAGTTGCCCCTCTATAAACGTGTACATCCTGACGGATGTACACATCACCCTTTTATCCACCAATACATAATCTAACAAACTACTTTCATTACGTGCTACATCATACCTTGTATATTTATTTATCCTCTTTCATAAAATGTATTACTTATTACCAAACCTCTTTCTACACATAGCTCAAAGGCTCCCCATTTTCATTTACCCCTGGCACCCCAAATTTACCTACTACTCCCTCCACAACATTTTTAACCACTTTAGTATTAAAATCCCCAACCACAAGTAATCTCACACTTGGTTCAAAACTCCCCATGCATTCACTCAACATTTCCCAAAATCTCTCTCCTCTACTTCTCTCTTCCCCAGGTGCATACATACTTACTATAACCCACTTCTCACATCCAACCTTTATTTTACTCCCCATAATCCTTGAATTAATACATTTATAGTCCCTCTTTTCCTGCCATAGCTTATCCTTCAACATTATTGCTACTCCTTTAGCTCTAACTATTAGAAACCCCTGACCTAATCCCATTTATTCCTCTCCACTGAAACTCACCCACCCCCTTCAGCTTTGTTTCACTTAAAGCCAGGACATCCATATTCTTCTCATTCATAACATCCACAATCATCTCTATCATTCGCACAACATCCACGCACATTCAGACTTCCCACTTTGACAATTTTCGTCTTCTTGTTCTTTTTAGTAATTATTACAGGAAAAGGGGTTACAAGCCCATTGTTCCCAGCATTTTAGTTGACTTTTACAACACACATGGCTTACGGAGGAAAGATTCTTATTCCACTTTCCCATGGATATAAAAGGAAAAGTAATTAGAATAAGACCTAATATAAAATCAAAGAAAACTCAGACGAGTGTGTATAAATAAACATGTAGTGTGACCTAAGTGTAAGTAGAAGTAGCAAGACGTACCTGTAATCTTGCATATTTATGAGAGACAAAAGATCAGCAATCCTACCATCACGTAAAACAATTACAGGCTTTCGTTTTACACTCGCTTGGCAGAACGGTAGTATCTCCCTCGGTGGTTGCTGTCTACCAACCTACTACCTTTAAATAAATAAATAAATAAATATATAAATATAATTATATACAAGTCCAGACCTGGACTCAAACCTTCACACTCTGCATCAGGGTACATCATACAAACATCGGATTTTGTCCAAGCATGGTGCAAGTACGTACTGTGTACTCTGATGCTCAGTGCACAGGTTCAAGTCCTCATCTGGAGTTTACCTGGAGTTTACCTGGAGAGAGTTTCGGGGGTCAACGCCCCCGCGGCCCGGTCTGTGACCAGGCCTCCTGGTGGATCGGGTTAATGTTTATATATAAATTACAGAAAATATAAATTATATACCATTACACTATAATAGAAGTATGCGATACATTAAATACACTATAAAGTATATACTAGATATCATGCGCTTTATACAATCTTAAAAGACAAATTTCACCCATACATAAATGATTCTATAAGTCACATTCTTGAGACCAACTATCAGTCTTTATTTTTCCAGAACCATTTAATGGATTTGAAAATGTGTTCCTTGTACACAGTTCATGGGTATCCATAAAAAAGTGGTATATCTGCATGATATACCACTGTTGTATGTCTAAAGCATCTGTGCCTTCAAAACCACTACCAATCTATAGTCATAGTTCAATCCCCAACATCGGTGGAAATGTTGGGCATGTTTCCTTACACCTGCTGTCCATATTCACTTAGCAGTAATTAGGCATCTGTGTTAAGTCTACTGGTGCGAGTTGCATCCTGGAAATAAGATTAAAAAGGACCCCAAAGGAAATAAGACAGACAGTCCTCAATGTCACACAGACATTCTTGGATTATACTGGGTGGCTAACCCTCAGAGTTCAAAATCTAAAATCTTATATTTGATTAAGTCTTCTCAGAATCACTTAAATGCTCTGCTGGTAAATACAGTGGACCCCCGACTTACGATATTAATTCATTCCAGAAGTCTGTTCGGGTGCCGTTACCGAACGAATTTGTTCCCATAAGGAATATTGTATATTAGATTAGTCCGTTTCAGACCCCCAAAAATACACGTACAAAAGCACTTACAAAAATATACTTGCATAATTGTTCGAGTTGGGAGCTGATCGTAAGGCAAGGGTCCACTGTACAAAGGCTTTGCAAATGCCACAACCAAACATTGCATCAGGGCAATACTCCTCTACAATGCTTCATCCTGATTAAAGTCATCTCATCAAAATATGACTCAATGATGGGAAGTGCCAAAATCTTGGTATCTACAAATGAAAGGCAAAGGCCAGTCAAATGATCTTTTCCAGACTAATGCAAAATTTTAAATAATCTCTCTACCATTCCCATGTTGTCAATCAGTCAAAAGTCTTATTTTCAGGCTGGCAAAATGGGGAATGATTTTTTATTTTTTAGCTAACATGTGTAATTTTACCTTATTCCTAGTAATGACTCCGTATTGTAGTCTTAATGACCCTCGTGTAGTAGTCTTAATGACCCTCGTGTAGTAGATAGTCTTAATAGTATGATAATGTGTTATCTCTTTTATAGAATAATAAAATATCACCTTTATATTATGATAATAGGGTAAAAGGACCCCAATGGAAATAAGTCACTGACTTTTTTTTGGGCTATCCTAGGTATTTTACACATGTTGCTATGTATGATAATTATGTATCTGTATTTGTGTATGCCTGAATAAACTTAAATTATCAGCAAGCACTAACCTAATATTACCTAACCTAAACCTAAATTATATTAATGGATTTTTTAAAGTGTATGACATATCACTGAGCATATCACCTGGATAACTCACTATGGAAAGCATGGAGAGTTTTTTTTTTTACAAATACTGAAGTAAAATTCCTGCAGTTTACTAAAAGTATAGAGTACCTTGGGCAAAACGGAAGCCATGGCACCTGAGTGAGAGAGAGAGAGAGAGAGAGAGAGAGAGAGAGAGAGACACACACACACACTCAGGGCTGATGTAGGTAAAAGCTCTTAGCTTGTCAATAAAGTTAGGAATCCTTAACCTGTAAATAGCTTGTCAATAATGCTAGGGATCCTTAACCTGACCTTGTCAAACCCTGTGTAAAAAAAAAAAAAAAAAAAAAAAAAAAGACAGGCAAAGAGAGACTGAGAATGACCACTGGTTCCACAGACTGAAGTAGTTAACCTGAGTATTACCTATGTCTTCCATGTTGCCACACAAATGATAAACACTTGGCGATTAGATTACATGACACCAGCAAATTTAATACTATTTATTCTGCATTCCTAAATGACCTAGTTTAACCATAATAAATATATAGCTACCCTTCATCAGTTTTTGTGAACATAAACGGTGCCACATGTAAGTAGCGATGTCTTACCCCCTGAACTGCAGCTGACGAGGATAATTTAAAGCCTGAATCAGTGACCATTTGAAGTGAATTTTAACAGATATTTAAGAGACTGAAGCTATCTTAGTGACCCCGGTTGTCGATGTGACAAATGCAAAAATGGTTACATCAGTGTGACAGAACTGACCAGACATATGTAAGATAAATAATACATGTATGACTCAGCGTGATGGAACTGACCAAACAATATTAGGACGTTCGTTACATTAGTGTTCCAGCAAGCAGATCTCACCGAGCATCGTCTGCAAAGTTCCATCACCCCATCAGCTGATCATAGCGGTCACACACCGCACTTACCACTGCATTTAACACAACCCCTTTCACCGACTCTCCTCACATTTCTTCTCATCGGGAGCCGAAAAAAAACACGGAGAACACATTTAATCAAGCTAAAATACCCCAGCAAAGCGATGAAGGACTATACTAATTTGGCTGCAGACGACGAAAACCGGCTCCGTTATCCCTACTACAGGGCCTGGGAGAACTGATCCAGTTATCAGTGACAAAACAAAGTAGCAGCACTTACATTGTGAGAAGCCACTGGCAGAACACAACATCTCGAGTTAAGTCCATAAATAGCGCTAGCATTAAGGGTAGAGGGTACGGTGGTGGGAGCTATGGTGCGGTTCACCGCAGAGTATAAAAGGCGAGCGGCGCGGCCCCTCATCGAGCTGGACATGGTTGCACAGGGGACTCTCACAAGGTGTACTGCGGGGAGCAGCAACGTACACCCACCAAGAAGACCACAGCCACACTGACCTCCACTCTTGCCCCCCAACACCACTATCACTCCACTCCCCCAACACCCACAATACATATATGCACCTTTACAACATTATCTTCTACCTTATTTTTTGTCTATTCATACTACCAGGAGCACATCACTATAATTGTATGACAATTTTTTGTGCTATAATATAAATAAAAACTCATTTTATTAGTATTATAGTTTTATTTTTTAATGGGAAAAGTGAATAGACAAGTTTTACAACCTTGTGACATTCATAAATATTTACGAAAAAAATGGATATACAGTAATCCTTTTTTTCTGGTTGATTCTGCCGATTTAGTTATAAAAACACTTCGCTATGCATATAATATTAACTTTATAAATTTGTTTTCTTCTCAGATATATTTAATTTATTTTTTTATATAAATATATTATTTACCTATATTAAATTACGTTGGTGTGCATCAATAGAACAATAATATTAAACATTGTTCTACATGTTTTTTAAAATAATTCGTTGATGTGTTGAAGTTAACATTTCTGAAAAAGTAGAGCAGGTCAGGCAGGAGTGTGACAAGCCTGAGACAGTAAACATGGCTCAGCTGCTGAGGCTTTTCCGGGAAAAATGTTTTCTGGTAGAAGAAACGCTCACCAGGTTACTACAGAGGTTACTCCTACAAGGTGAATTATGCTTTACAATCTTAGTATTTTTTTATTTTTAACGACTTAGAGGTAATTACAATGCATATAAACTGTATTGAACAATTAGGTATTGCATATGGGATAGGAAAAATTTCAAATGGTTTCGAAGAAATCCTCTGCCACCAGTCCCGTGGCTTGGTGGCAAAAGCTCTCGCTCACACGGTGAGATACGGTTTAGATTCCCGGCAAGGGTGGAAACATTGGTCGTGTTTCCTTACACCAGTGGACCCCAATGGAAATAAGTCACTCTGTCTGACTTTTTTGGGTTATCCTAGGTTCTCTACACATATGCTGCTATGTATGATAATTCTATGTAACTGTATTTGTGTATACCTGAATAAACTTACTATGTTTACCCGTCAGCAAAAATGGGTACCTGGGTGTTAGTCGACTGGTGTAGGTCGTATCCTGGGACAAATTTGACCTACTTTGCCCAAAATGCTCAGCTTAACAAGCGGCTTTCTATGTAGTATGTCATTGATGTCAGCTAGGACTGTATACCTTGTACATGTACTTGTAAGTAAGCAAGTTTATTCAGATATACACAAATACAGTTACATAGATTATCATACATAGCAGCATATGTGTAAAGTAACCAGGATAACCCAAAAAAAGTCATACAAAATGACTTATTTCCATTGGGGTCCTTTATTAATAATATTGATAATATCTACAAGTACATATACATGATATACAGGCCTAGCTGACATCAGTGACATACTACTATATAAAAAGTGCTTTCTTATGCAGAGCATTTCGGGCAAATTAGGTAAATTTTGTCCCCAGGATGCGACCCACACCGGTCAACTGGTGGCCTGGTAAGCAACACATGCTTCACATGCCGAGTGTTATGGTTTGATCCCCGGCAAGGGTGGAAACATTGGGCATGTTTCCTTACACCTATTGTCCCATTCACCTAGCAAGCAAGTAGGTACCTGGGTGTTAGTTGACTGGTGTCGGTTTCTTCCTGGGGGACAAAATTTAAGGACCCCAATGGAAATACAGACAGTCCTTGATGACACACTGGCTTTATTGGGTTGTCCTGGGTGGCTAACCCCCTGGGTTTAAAAATCTAAACAAAATCTTAATTAACACCCAGGTACCTATTTTACTGACAGGTGAACATGGACAGCAGGTGTCTTAAGGAAATGTGTCCTAATGTTTCCACCTGAATTGAAGATCGACACCTGGATCTCAGTGTGTGAGCTGAGTGCGATAGTGATCAAGCTATGAATATTTTGATGCCATTGAGGTGTACCTGATCCAAGGAAGTGGACCTATCCTTCCCTTTCTTGGATCAAACCCAGTTGTCCCATTCCCCATGTGCTGTATAACTCATTTACCCCCTGATTATAATAATACAGTAATTCTAGGAAAATTTTCAAGATTTCTTTTTCCTACAAACCATTTTATTTGGTTTTCTGATGCAGTGTCCTTATAGTTCATGACAGAGGTGGACATTATGTAGGTATGTATATTTAGAACAAGCTATATGGGAGTGAAAATCTTTAGCTCTAGATATTTCGCAATCTCGTGCATCATCAGGAGCTGTGCAATGTTGAAAAACGGCAACAGATAGGAGGGGAAATTCTCTGTGGCAAGGCAGATGGTATGAGTGGCAGCCCCTCCTGTCTGTTGCTTTTTTTTTTTTTTTTTTTTTTTTTTTTTTTTTTTGCAACATTGCATAGCTCCTGATGACACACAAGTACAAAAGATCTAGAGTTAAAGATTTCTATCCCCATGTGGTTTGTTGTGCATTGTTAAGATCTGTTCACGATTGTATTGCATGCATGTATGACGGTGGTTTTTTTAAGGCGACTATGCCAGTGAGCTTCATAAAACTGTTACTTTTGTCTACACTACCATACCTGTGCCTGCAATATTTTTATAAATACAAATTTTTTTTTTTTTTTAATTAAACAAGTCAGTGGGTGACTTCAGTTGGTTATTCTAGGTTATATCTACATAATGTAGCATTTATTAATTTATGTATACATTTTTGTGCCCTCAGAACTGTTGTACTAATATATACTGCTGTATGCAAAATCATTTTAGTCTATTTTCTGAATAAAGCTTTCATCCTAAGAAGTTCACCTTTGCATGTTGCTTACTCATGGTACAGCATTGTCATTACTAATACAAAAAGTTCTTATCCTTACTACCTGCAGCCTTACCTGCAAGATGCTACTTAACTGCACCCTTGGTTTTTTTTTTGTTTTTTTTTAAACTTTTGCTGGTGTCTTTCACCAAGGTAACCTAATCCAAAGAAGGAAACACATTTATAATGGCTCATTCAACACTTGTCTTGCCAAAATGCATACAAGCTGCAACATCCACACAAAATGATTATATTAAGGACTATACAGTATTACAGTGGACCCTCGACTAACGCTATTAATCCGTTCCTGAGAGCTCATCGTTAGTCAAAATAATCGTTAGTAAAGTTAATTTTCCCCATAAGAAATAATGGAAATCAAATTAATCCATGCAAGACACCCAAAAGTATTGAAAAAAAAAAATTTAACACGTGAAATATTAATTTTAATACACACAAACTGAAGAAGACATGCACAGTTACATGACACTTACCTTTATTGAAGATCTGGTGATGATTGATGGGATGGGAAGAGGGGAGTGTGTTGATAGTCTTAGTGTTTAGAAGGGGAATCCCCTTCCATTAGGACTTGAGGTGGCAAGTCCTTTTTCAGGGTTACTTCCCTTCTTTTAATGCCACTAGGACCAGCTTGAAGTCACTGGACCTCTGTCGCACAACATATCTGCCCATAGAGGCCTGTACCTCCCGTTCCTTTATGACATTCCTAAAGTGTTTCACAACATTGTCAGTGTCACCATTAAACACTTGTTCAGGTTTCAGTCCTTCACTGTCTATGTACTCCTTGAATTCCTGCACATATTTTTCAGCTGCTTTTTGGTCCAAACTGGCAGCCTCACCATGCCTTATCACACTGTATGCCACTACGATTCTTAAATCTCTCAAACCAACCTTTGCTGGCCTTAAATTCACTCGCATCACCACTAGTTGCTGGCATTTTTCTAATTAAATCGTCATGCAACTTCCTAGCCTTTTCACATATGATCGCTTGAGAGATGCTATCTCCTGCTATCTGTTTTTTGTTTATCCATACCAATAACAGTCTCTCAACATCTTCTATCACTTGCGATCTCAGTTTCGAAAACATAGTTGCACCTTTGGCAAGAACAGCTTCCTTGATTGCCGTTTTCTTGGCCACAATAGTAGCGATGGTTGATTGGGGTTTAGTGTACAGCCTGGCCAGCTCAGAGACATGCACTCCACTTTCATACTTAGCAATGATCTCTTTCTTCATATCCATAGTAATTCTCACCCTTTTTGCTGTAGGGTTGGCACTTGAAGCTTTCTTGGGGCCCATGGTGACTTATTTTGCAGGTGCAATCACTAAAAAGGCTGTGATAATATGAAATGTTCCGATTGTATGCTTGGAAGCGACCGCGGTGGCTGGCTGGCTTGTTAACACTGGCCAGAAGTGGACGCGTCTCAGACGGAACGAATAGTGTTGGTCGAGTTTTTTAGCGCTAATCGAGGCAAAATTTTTGCGATAAAATGTATCGCTAGTCAGATTTATCGTTAATCGATGCCATCGCTGGTCGAGGGTCCACTGTATTGTCATACAGTGGTGGCGATTTCAAAATTATTTTATCCTTAACCTTTTCATTGTCCAGACCACCAAAATTAGTATTGCTCATTATCCACATATACAAAAAATGTAAAAGAATAGAATCTTCTGAAGGTAATGACCCCAAATGTGCAAAATTTGACAGAAAACTTGCAGAATTATGCAGGTGCAAAGTTATGGTCTGGGCACAATTCGTGTATTGGTGATTTTTGCCCACTATGTCTTATTTTAAGCCAGTTGCATTGCTCCATTCAACCAAATTCTTAGCTATTTTGCTATTATGGCTTCTGTTCTGTTGATTGAGCACAAGCAACTGCCCAGTCAACTATTAGAACTACCCAGAAGTCAGTAATTTGGCCAACATTAAAAAAATTTCAGTTTAAAAATAGAATCCAAAATAAACAATGTAGACAGCCTGGGCACTAAAACATTTCCTTTATTCATTAATCATGTCCTCAGGCCTTTCCTAAACAGTAGGGCCCCATTTATATGGCAGGTTAGGTTCCAGGTTACCACCGTAAAGCAGAAATCGCTGTAAAGTGGAACACCTTTTTTTTTCCCACTTAGAAATGTATAGAAATACTAGATAACAAGTTTACACTAACATATATTAAGTTAGCAATAGAACTTGGCATTAAAAAACAATAAAAAAGTAAAATGCACATATAGTACACTCATTACTTACCTTAACCCTTTGACTGTCACAACCCCTTTTCTGAAACTCATTCTATGTTGCAAAATTTTTGGAAAAAAAAAAATTTTTTCTTATGAAATGATAGAGAATCTTTTCCCAATGGTAATGACACCAAAAGTATGAAATTTGGTCAAAAACTCACGAAATTACACTCCCACGAAGTTAGTGATCTCGGCGACATATACGCATCGTCGATTTTGCTGACTTTAAGCCCTATTTTTGGCCAGTTCCATTGTTCCAGTTGACCAAACTCATAGCTATTTCTTTAGAACTCCATTTTTTCTATCAGTTGAGTACAAGAAACCGCCCATTTACCGATTTGAACTACCCAATAAAGTGGTCAGAAATTGGCAATTTGGCCAATTTCACGCAAATTAAAAAAGATGCCAATTTCAAAATAGGGTCCGGAATAAACAATGTAGTTATTCTTGGCACTAAAATAACATATCCTCTGTTCATTAGTCACATCTCTAGGCCCCTCTTGCATTACTATTGCTTTCTATTTTGATTTTTTATTCATACAAAAAATACAAAATTTACTGTTATGCAGACTACTGCATTATTGTAAAAATGGTATAAATAATATCAGTCCACTAGTGAAAGAATGTTAC